CTCTCTCTCTCGCTCTCTCTTTCTCTCTCTCTCTTAGTTGTCTGAGCATCAACGAATTTGGTACAGGTACTTTTGCCGTTTTGAATACAATCTTCTAAATTGGTGCAACTGTCTTTGAGCTCAGCTGCCCCTGTTAGCAATGTAGTCCTTTAAACGTTGCTCCAACTGTTGCATATGCTGCTGTTACTTCACAGTTCTCTCTCTCTCTCTCTCTCTCTCTCTCTCTCTCTCTCTCTCTCTCTCTCTCTCTCTCTCTCTTAGTTGTCTGAGCATCATAGACTTTGCTGCAGTTCCTTTTGGCGTTGTTGTTAGCGTTTGAGTCCTGTAAACTTTGCGTTGTTGCTGCTGCTGCAGTTGTAACGAATATAGTCCTATAAATTGATGACGTTGTTACCAATGTTATTCTAAAAATTGTCGCTGCTGCTGTCACCGTTAAAGTGCTCTACATTGGAGCAGATGTCATTGAACTTTGCTTCCACTGTTATCGATAAAGTCCCATAACCGTTGCTGGAGGTGTTGCAGTTGCTGCTGTTAGCGATGTAGTACTACAACGGAAGTGTCCTTTTAACTCGGTTGCAGAGTCCTTTTAACTCAGTTGGAGCTGTCACAATTGTTATTGTTACTACACAGTTCTGTCTCTCTCCCCCCCCCCCCCCCCCCCCCCCCCCCCCCCCCCCTCTCTCTCTCTCTCCCCCCCCCCCCCCCTCTCTCTCTCTCTCTCTCTCTCTCTCTCTCTCTCTCTCTCTCTCTTTCTAAGCATCAGAGACTTTGCTGCAGTTACTTTTGTTGTTGTTGTTAGCGAAAGATACTGTAAACTTTGCATTGTTGTTGCTGATGTTACCGATGTTTTCCTGAAAACTGTTGCTGCTGCTGTCTTTCAACTCTAGTACCCCTATTATCGATCTAGTCCTACAAACGCTGCTGCCGTTGTTGTAGTTGTTGTTGCTGCTGTCACCGATAAAGTGTTCTACATTAGAGCATCTGTCTTTGAACTTTGCTGCCCCTGTCATCAATACAATCCCAAAAACGTTGGTGCAGGTATTGTAGTTGTTGTTGTTAGCGATATAGTCCTAACTCGGCTGCAGCTCTTCCATCTGCTGCTGCTATCTTTGAACTTTGTTGCCCCTATTATTGATAGAGTCCTCTAAACGCTGTTGCAGTTGCTCTTAGCGATATAGTTGGACAAACTACTGCTGTTGTTATCCTAAGAACAACTGTTGCTGCTGCTGCTGCTGCTCTTGCCGGTTGTTGCAGCTGATGCTGCTGCTGTCACCAATAAAGTGTTCTACATTGGAGCATCTGTCTTTGAACTTTGCGGCCCTTGTCATCGATACAGTCCCAAAAACGTTGGTGCAGGTGTTGGAGCTGCTGTTGTTAGCGATATAGTCCTACAACTGAAGAGTCGTTTTAACTCGGCTGCAGCTCTTCCATCTGCTGCTGCTATCTTTCAACTTTGTTGGCCCTATTATGGATAGAGTTCTCTAAACGCTGTTGCAGTTGTTGTTAGTGATAAAGTCCTATAACTGAAGAGTTGTTTTAACTCGACTGCAGCTCTTCCATCTATTGCTGCTATCTTTGAACTATGTAGGCCCTATTATCGATAGAGTCCTCTAAATGTTGTTGCATTTGTGGTTGTTAGCGATATAGTCCTATAATTAAAGAGTCGTTTTAACTCGGCTGCAACTCTTCCATCTGTTGCTGCTATCTTTGAACTCTGTTGACCCTATTATCCATAGAGTCCTCTAAACGCTGTTGCAGTTGCTGTTAGTGATCTAGTTATACAAACTACTGTTGTTGTTATCCTAAGAACAGTTATTGTTGCTCCTGCTACTGCTGCTGCTCTTACCGGTTGTTGCAGTTGCTGCTGCCGTCACTGATAAAGTGTTGTACATTGGATCACCTGTATTTGAACTTTGCTGCCCCTGTCATCGATACAGTCCCAAAAACGCTGGTGCAGGTGTTGCAGCTGCTGTTGTTAGCGATATAGTCCTATAACTGAAGAGTCGTTAACTCAACTGTAGCTCTTCCATCTGCTGCTGCTATCTTTCAACTCTGTTGGCCCAATTGTCGATAGAGTCCTTTAAACGCTGTTGCAGTTGCTGTTAGCGATATAGTCCTAAAACCTAAGAGTCGTTTTAACTCGGCTGCAACTCTTCCTTCTGCTGCTGCTATCTTTGAACTCTGTTGGCCCTCTTATCGATAGAGACCTCTAAACGCTGTTGCAGTTGCCGTTAGCGATATAGTCCTATAATTGAAGAGTGGTTTTAACTCGGCTGCAGCTCTTCCATCTGCTGTTGCTATTTTTGAACTCTGTTTGCCCTCTTATCGATAGAGCCCTCTAAACGTTGTTGCAGTTGCTGTTAGCGATATAGTCCTATAACCTAACAGTCGTTTTAACTCAGCTGCCCCTGTTATCGATTTAGCCCTTTAAACGCTGTTGTAGTTGTTGCAGCCGCTGCTGTTAGCGAGGTAGTCCTAGAAACTGCGCGGTAGTCTTATTCCGTTAAACTTTGGTGCTGTTACTTTTCTCGTTGGCTGTGTTGTTAATAGCAATGGCAACTCCCGACGTTCTCTTTTTTTTGGCTAATTGTTTTGTTGGTTTGTTGGAGCAGGAATTCATTAAAGCTCTCGGTGAGTACTTGGGTCCGAAGGTAATGCGGTCACTTCTTCCATTCAAGGCGGCAGCGAACAACAAGAATAAAACCCCGGCTCAATAAAAAACTGAGGGGTTCCAAAGGGCCTGTTGTTTCGCCACAGACGTATGCCGAGTCCACTGGTGTTTTAGAAAAACTTTCGGGGACAAAGCCTAAGCCTCAGAAGAAGAAGCAGAAGCAGCTTCCGCGAAGCCACCAAAGTCCCCGACAGGAAAAGCGAAAGGGAAAGTTGCAGAGGAGATCCAAGTGTCTCGTGGTCTTGTACCACGTGAACTGTCAGAGGACTTGACACGCGTCTGGGAAGAGCTAAGGAATCTCAAAGAGAAGAAAATCGCCGAAGAGCCGTTTAACTTGCCGATGAGTTGTCTCAAAAGGCCACCACTCGTTGGGGAAAAAAACCTTTGGAAGTTCGGGAGCCTGAAGAAAGTCATGTCTCGGAGATCATGGACTCCATGTTTGCTCACCCCAGTGGAGATCATCTTCCATTCATCGACATTGTGGATCCTGAGCAGATTAAGAGCAAGTCTGATGTGGATTTGGCAAAGTTGAGGTTTGGAGGCTATACGGTTTATGTGTTTGGAGGTGGACATTCTCGGGAAGCAAGGGAACGCCTAAGGACGATGTATCCGGATAAAGAGGACTACAATTGGAATATTTGCTACGTATATGCGGGCCTGACAACGGATGAAGCAAGGCAGGTCGCTCACAAGCACAACCTAGCAACGGGCTTCCAGAGAGACATGAACTTCATCGAGAAGATGAAGTGCTGGCGTAATATTTTTGAGAGGAATGGGTCTGTAAAGAGCGCAGAAGTGAAGACGGCCTGCCTGCGGGAGCTTTGCATACCCGTTGGTCCCAAGACAATGCAGAACAATGACCTGTTGCTACAGGTCGCCATGCGGCCGAAAGAGATTTGGGACCTTCAACTCTGAATTTTTGAAATGTGGCAGAGGGGAGAGTGCAAGAACCAAAAGCTCAAACCTGTGGCAAAGAGTCAGATTCGCACTGAAGTTGATCCCGAATCAAGCAAACCTTAAGGCGGGAAAAAGAAGCGTGGAGGGAAAAGGCTCGACAGGGCGGCCACGAAGCAACAAGAGTTGGCATTCTTCAATCCCCGTGCGAAGCTGAAGGACAACAAAATCCCAATGGTGCCGGCTGACATGCCTGCACAACATTGGATCATCATGGCCAATGTCCCGCACGGAGCCATCATCCCTATTCTAACAGAAGTTATATCCAAACAAATCTTCGTTGATGAAATGGAATCCAAATTCAAGGTGGTCAAAAAATTTGGGTATGTTGCAAAGCTCTTTAGCGAGGGCGTGGGCTGCAAGGACTTCAAGGAGGCAGAAAAAAAGTTTCCATTGCGCACAAAGAAGGAGGTCCTCGAGACGTTCATTGGCGGTTTCGAAAAGTGAGGGAGTAAGCCGGAAGCTTTGCTCAATCATATTGAATGGGGAAACCAGTGGAGAAGAATTGAGGAGAGGAGGATTCGAGAGGCACAAACAACCAGTCGCAATCTCCTTCAGCCGCAAGTGTTGTCGGAACCCTTCACTGACTGGACGACGGTGAAGCACGAGTGGTGTGCGGAGGAAGTTAAGGTGATTTGGGATGATATATTGCATCTCTCACAACTCCAGAAGGAAAAACTGCCAATATCTCTGGCTGTATTTAACTTCCCTTAGGGATTTGCCCACAAGGGTCATGCAGCTGATACAGAGTCGTTCTCAGAGGCCGACATAGTAGAGGTGCTGCAAAATGTCAAGCAGGTTACCAGTACATCACTATGGACAGTCGTCCGCTTCTGCTCTGTGGACATGCTTCCGTCTGTGAGGTCTGCATTTGCACGGGTCTGCAACGCCGGCCAAGAAATTCTTACCTGGTGCAAGCCGAATGTGATAAATCCCGGTGATCCCAGACTTATCAGCGCCACAGAGTTCTGCCTCCTTGGGTATTACAATGTCACTGGACAACGGGAAATGGCACATTACAACTTTGCCCCGACAGATCGGCGCCACAACTTCCAGTTGTTCGATGCCTGCACACGCAAGTATTTCCATCTGAGCGACAACACCGTGTTATGTCCCTACCAGAAGCCCTACTCCCTTTACTCCTGGTTGGTTACCAAATTTTCTCCTCCTGGCGCGACCGTTTTGGATGGCTTTTCTGGCTCGGGAACAGGTGTCATTGCCTGCATCCTCTCAAACCGTAACTGCCTTGTTGTGGAAGTGAACAAGCGTTGCGCAAAGGGGATTCTCATCAGGTTGCTTACCGACATCTCAAAGACGCTCGAAAGAGAAATGTCAAAACAAGGAAAAGGAAAGGCGAAGGAGTCGCAACTAAACGAGGATATTGAGGTGTCCGGGGACCACGGGCTTGAGGAACAAGAGAAGTTGGATGAAGAAGGGATCGTTGAGGAGGCTACGACCCAACAAATGACCCATGAGACATGGCAGCCGATGCCAGGTCTCATCAGCAAGCCTGCAGAAGAAAGCAACAGTGTGGGAGAGGCAGAGGGAGCTGCCCAGCAGCTCGGGGCGAACATCCCGGTACCTCCAAAACAGCAGAAGGAGACTATTGCTCCAGTTGTGGCATTTTTGGTCAGTGTGGTGGTCCCGACTAATAGTGCACATGGCGTGCTCTTTGGAGCTCCCGACTCCTCTCAGGAATTCCGAGAAGCAGAAGATCCGCTGTCGGGCGCATCGGCCCCCGCGTGAGCGAGGGCCCTCCCGACTATGTCACGCAGGAGTTAAAACCGACAAATTAGAGACAACTCAGGATAATGCATAGATAATCCCGCGAATCGTCGAGACGACGCGGTTGCATTGCCCCTTCGCCGCTCTAGCCGAGTGCGCCAGCTGTACATCCCGCGGTCCCCTACGACAGGATAGGTTCCCACGGGGCATAAGCTTTCCCTTCCCTAAGGGACTGTCACCACCCTTAGGGGCGTATCCCTACTGAACTACCGACCCACATGCGAAAGTTTTTATAATGCAGTTGCAGAGGTAGGTCAGTCGAGGGCGTTTGCTCGCTCGCTGTAGCATAGATACACTTGGTTAACGCCAAGTGAACTCGAACGTCGCCCGTTCCTTAGGGCGCTGATCTCCTAAGTACGAGGCGGATGTCGGTCGACTAAGACGATCTCAATCAAACGTGAAACCCACAATATTATTCTGGTCCCTTTATAATTATCTGACCACAATATAAATAAATAAAATCAATACACTTTATATTCAATCGCACAAGACTTGATTTCGACTTGACGAGATGATTTGCCAAAGTTATCATTCCCGGCCTATATGAGTAACGATACTATTATTCCGCCGCTTCCGAGGCGGAGGCTCGATATTGAGGAAGGATTAGGAAGGACAGCCTAACTTTTAACTTACGGTTGGGTCTGTCGACACTTATTAAACCATGCTTGCAATGACTCCTCCAAGTAAATTCCACTGCTACCATGCCGATCAACAATGGGAGTGAGTGGTATCTGCAAAACAAAATCCGCTTGTAAGTTGAAATTCCCATTTCCATTTTATTTTTTTCTTACGGCGCGCGCTTCTTGCGGCGCGGCCTACCTCGTAGGCGGTGCCTAAATGCACCCCACTTGCCCTTAGTTAAACATGAACTGGGATCCTTAAGGCTCCAGTTTTCCATGGGTAGGTGGCTCGTAAAGCGCCCACCATTAGGGTACCCTAAGCAGTCGCCCCCTGCGCGAGAATCAAGGGGTCCGCTACTTTCCCCACCTAAGGTTACACGCCCAACCCCTAAGAGGTGGTATAGGGCACCCCTTCTCCTCACCCAGGCCTAAGCCTGGAGCTCAGAAGTTGGGCTAGCTCCACCACGGCAGCAAGGTACCCGCCCGCAGAAAGCGGTCCACTCCGAGTCGAATACAGGGCCGGCCCCTAAGGCAACAAACCCCTGCCTCAGATTCCTCCTAGAGGTAGGGAATGCGACCCCGGCAAGTAAACTACCTCCCCTTCAACCACCAGCGTCGAGGGTAACTTAGACGAAAGAAGAAGAACGCGAGTAAAGAAGTTTCATTTAGACGGGAATCAGATGCAGAGGGGGTTATTCGGGCGAGAAAGGGTTCCCTAAGGGAATAGTCTAAGTCCATCTGGAATTTTCTTCTTTCCTCGACGCCGCTTTCTTCTCGCGTTCTTCTCTTTCTTTTTTTTTCCTTCATGCAAATGGGCGAGGGCTTCGAAGACACAACCTGCAAACCATCATCTCCCTACTACCCTGCGCCCCGTCGCACATACATACCTGCGTCCAAAAAGAACATCACATAAAATAGCACACGCACATATATTTTTTTTTTCTTTGTCAGTCTCCCCCATTTACATGCACCAAACCCCTCCGCACTATTCTGCCATTTCCAAGAATATTCAGAGAAAGGTCAAACACAGTGTGGGTTTTGGGCACCAGTGAGGGAGGCTGAGTCCACTGACCTTGAGTGTCTTGCTGGTCCACTCAAGAAAACCTTTCAGAACAACCACCAAAACTGTCGACGTCACGCGTGCGAAGCTCACGGCAACCCTCCTTTCAATTGCCTATGCCACCTCCACTCCACTTACTCCCTTAGTGTGCAGCCCTAAACTGTATCACAAAGTGAAGTATCCTCACTCCCTTTCTTCTTTACAAGTTGGTGGCTATAGCTGCCACCCCTCCTTCTTCTTCCTCAATAGTTGGTGGCTATAGCTGTCATTCCTCCTTCTTCTTCTTCAACAGTTGGTGGCTATAGCTGCCATTCCTCCTTCTTCTTCTTCAAGATTTACTACACGCCCTCCAACCTTCATCTCTCAAATCCAAACTGAAGTCTCTCCTCTCCTCTTCCAAATCTGACTTCAATCTCCCCCTCTAAGTAGGCACCTTCCCCTTCACCTTTGCTGCAGCCTGCCTCCACTTTTGCTATAGTAAATCCAAATTCAAGGTGGTCAAAAAATTTAAGGTAGCAGTCTTCTCTCACCTTGAGAGAGATAGCTATGGCTGCCTTCTCCCTCCTTAGAAACCTTAGTTCTGGCTGCCCGCAGCACTTGGAGCACCTGGCTATGACAGCCACCAGCTCCCCTCCTTCACTTTTCTCTATGCACTCCAGCAGCACTTCCCCCTTCACTACTTCACCTTCCACCTCAGTGCTAGCTGGTTATGACAGTCTAGCACCTCCTCTCTTCTTCCAACAGCGGTCTTTCTCTCTCTCATTCAGCTGGCCTTACACTCCAGTAGCCTCTCCTTTCTCTCTCAGCAGTTGGCGAAGCACTCAGGCAGAGTGTGGGCAGCACCTCAAAATGATGAGGTTGGTGCTGGCCAGCCCAGCTTTTATAGCTGGCTGAGAGGTGAAGGCCCAGCTGAAGCTCAGCTGAGGCTGCCTCCTTGAGCACAACAGCTACAAATTCATACCTGTTGTGAGCCCTCGATCTGAAATTCATATCAAGGGTCCCAAACCTTGATTTTCCCCTAGGAAGACTAGAGGGATTCAAGTATAAATGTACCTGGGTTCTTCCCCAGGTCCCATTCATGTAGGGAAGGTTGTACTCAGCCTCCCCTTGTTGTGCTACAACAGCACAGCAAGGCTCTGCCTTGCTGCACCTAGCCCGACCCTCAGCCAGGTTCGCGCACTCCCCCTCTGAACTCACTTTCAATATGAGTTCAGAGGTTGTGCCCGAATCTGGCTGCTGAGGAAGCCAGATTCACAAAACAAAAACGAGCTCACACATCACAAAAAAAAAAAGCAAAAGATTTTTTTTTCCTCACTCACCTCGTTTTTCAGCAGCCACGGCTGCCGAAAACCAGGTCCTGAGTTTGAATCGGGGGGAAACTGTGTTTCCTTCCCCTACTCTTTTTTTCTTTTTGAGAGGGGCAGCTCGTTTTTTAAAACGAGCTGCCTCCTTCCACCAAGTCTTTTCACCGTGTCAAACTAGTGTCAAGATCATAGGGTCTTCCCCCACTTGCCCCAAGAGTCCGTACCCCGATGCAAAACGTGTCGGGTACAGGCGTCGTCTTGCAGCCTGTCCACAAAACGAACAGTCACGGTGTACCCCATTGGAGTCTTACCTGTTGGTTGTTGCGCCGCCCACTGTTGCTTCCATTAGTGGCCAGGTAAGTCCTCTCTTTCCCCCGTAGTAGTAGTAGTAGTAGTAGTATTTTTCCATATTCTAGCAGTAGATACATTCGTCTTTGCCTTGCCCCCAGTAGCAACCGGTTCAAACGGGTGCCCCCAGAATAAAAGACAAGAACGAAATCTAGAAATGAAGAAAATCTACGAAAATCAAAAAAAGAAAAAGATAAAAAACAGAAAACCAACTTACCTGACTGCAGAAAATGGTCGCCTGTCAAGTGCACTGGGGCCAAAGCCCCTGTCACTTCTTACTACGCCAAGTGACGTTCAACCTGTAGTTTTAGATTTGTCTCTCTTTTTTTTTTTTTTTTTTTTTTTTTTTGCCTTTGCTGGGGCAGAACATGCCCCGCGCGGCTGATTCTGACCGCGCGATCTCCTCGATCTTGCGGTCAGAAACGGGCCGCTCCAAAAGAAGCCAGCCCAAGGTCAGTTCAGATACGAACCCCAGACCAACAGGGTGACAGTCTCGAACGTAAACCTATTGGGCTGGCTCCTACTACAAGAACAATGAAAGCACAAATCCATATAAAGCGTATGGGGCTCAGCCCCTCCTTACTACTAGCGGCTCAGCAGGCCGTCGCTGCTCGCCTGTCGGCTGGCTGGCTGGCTGGCCGGCTGGCTAGCAGTAGGCTGGCTGGCTGGCTGGCTGGCTGGCTGGCCCCTACACACTCCGCATTCCACGGCAACTGCACCATCCTTTCTATCCTTCGGCGCGGACGGCCTGGCCCCCTTTCTCTTTTTTTTTTTTCTCTGTTGCTTTTTGACAACCTCGTTCCCCCATTTTTTTTTAATTTTTTTTTTTGCACTCCCATCGGCCTGGGCTAACGATCACATCGCGAGACACCCCGAAACTGTTGAAATGTAGGCCTGAGTTCGATCCCCTTGGGGATCGAAAAAAATAATTTGGGCCATTTCTCGATTTATTCGTGTCATCCTCGCGCAGGGGCCATGCTAATCTCGGCGCACTAGATCTGGGTCGCGCGATTTCCACGATAGGACGCCCGGATCTAGCCGCGCCGTCAGCAATGGCAATGGACAGCTCCAAATGGCCAGCTCCAAACGACCAGCTCCAAAAGGAGCTAGCCTCGTAGGCGCATGCGGCCGGGTTCGATCTCGATATCTGTCAGATAGCAGTCTGGTGGTGTAGCCTATTGGGCTAGCTCCTATCATGCAAGTGATAGGAGCCGCTCTTCTATAAGAAGAGTTGGCCCAGTCGCTAACCCCATGCCGTGGCCTTGCAGGCTCCTCGTGCCTCAGGCCCAGCCTACCTGCGGCCCAAAAGGCCTCGCCTGCTTGTGGCTCCACATGCTTGACACGCCGCGTGGCCTTGACATCCGCTTATCAATCCCCTGGCCCGGTGTCAACCCCCGCGGCCGGGAAATAAGACCCTTCTTCCTACTACCCCCATGCCGCGGTTGTATACCCGGCGAACGTAGGTCCTGAATCGCGCGGCTGTTATTTCAGGTAGACTAGGTCTAACTTTAGCGTTCCCATGTCTACACATTCCTCTGCGGTCTCAACAAGACAAACACGTCCTGTTACTGCCACTACTCTCGGATGCTGCAGACGTCCAGACGAGGGTTCTAAAAAGTTTCCGTTTTTCAGTCATAGGTCAAGTTTGAATGAAATTTTGGCAGATAACCCATCTCATCAAGTTATGAAGCCCGAATATTCCTTTAC